AAAGAGAAATCAGGAAAACAATTCCATTCACAATAGCATCAAAAAGAATAAAATATCTAGGAATAAACCTAAACAAGGAAGTGAAAGACCTATACCCTGAAAACTACAAGACACTCTTAAGAGAAATTAAAGAGGTCACTAACAAATGGAAACTCATTCCATGCTCCTGGCTAGGAAGAATTAATATCGTCAAAATGGCCATCCCGCCCAAAGCAATATACAGATTCAATGCAATCCCTATCAATTATCAACAGCATTCTTCAATGAACTGGAACAAATAGTTCAAAAATTCATATGGATCCGCCAAAGACCCCAAATAGCCAAAGCAATCCTGAGAAGGAAGAATAAAGTGGGGTGGATCTCGCTCCCCAACTTCAAGCTCTATTACAAAGCCACAATAATCAACACAGTTTGGTACTGGCACAAGAACAAAGCCACAGACCAGTGGAACAATAGAAACTCCAGACATTAACCCAAACATATATGGCCAATTAATATACGATAAAGTGGCCATGGACATACAATGGGGAAATTACAGTCTCTTCAATAATTGGTGCTAGCAAACTCGACAGCTACATGTAAGAGAATGAAACTGGATCACTGTGTAACCCCATACACAGAAGTAAATTTGAAATGGATCAAAGACCTGAATGTAAGTCATGAAACCATAAAACTCTTAGTAAAAAACATAGGCAAAAATCTCATGGACATAAACATGAGTGACTTCTTCATGAACATATCTCCCCGTGCAAGGGAAACAAAGGCAAAAATGAACAAGTGGGACTGTATCAAGCTAAAAAGCTTCTGTACAGCAAAGGACACCATTAATAGAACAAAAAGGCATCCTACAGTATGGGAGAACATATTCATAAATGACAGATCCGATAAAGGACTGACATCCAAAATATATAAAGAGTTCGCATGCCTCAACAAACAAAAATCAAATAATCCAATTAAAAAATGGGCAGAGGAGCTGAATAGACAGTTCTCTAAAGAAGAAATCCAGATGGCCAACAGGCACATGAAAAGATGCTCCACATCACTATTCATCAGAGAAATGCAAATTAATACCTCAATGACGTATCACCTCACACCAGTAAGGATCGCCATCATCGAAAAGACAAACAACAACAAATGTTGGTGAGGTTGTGGAGAAAGTGGAACCCCCTACACTGCTGGTGGGAATTAGTTCAATTAGTTCAACCATTGTGGAAAGCAGTATGGACGTTCCTCAGAATGCTCAAAATAGAAAAAGCATTTGACTCAGGAATTCCACTTCTAGGAATTTACCCTAAGAATTCAGCACTCGAGTTTGAGAAAGACAGATGCACCCCTATGTTTATCATTGCACTATTTACAATAGCCAAGGTATGGAAGCAACCTAAATGTCCATCAGCAGATGAATGGATAAAGAAGATGTGGTACATATACACAATGGAATATTACTCAGTCATAAGAAAAATCAGATCCTACCATTTGCAACAACATGGATGGAGCTAGAGGGTATTATGCTCAGTGAAATAATCCAGGCAGAGAAAGACAAGTACCAAATGATTTCACTCATATGTGCAGTATAAGAACAAAGGAAAACTGAAGGAACAAAACAGCAGCAGAATCACAGAACCCAAGAATGGACTAATAGTTACCAAAGGGAAAGGGACTGGGGAGGATGGGTGGGAAGGGAGGGATAAGGGCAGGGAAAAATAAAGAAGGCATTACAATTAACATGTATAGTGCGTGGGGGGCACCGGGAGGGCTGTGCAACACAGAGAAGACAAATAGTGATTTTACAGCATCTGACTACGCATATGGACAGTGACTGTGAAGGGGTACGTTGGGGGGACTTTATGAAGGGAGAAGCCTAGTAAACATAATGTTCTTCATGTAATTGTAGATTAATGATACCAAAATTAAAAATAAAACATACTCAGCATCTATTACATATTTAGCAATGAACTAGGCTCTAGGGATACCAAAAATGAAAAGATGACACCTCTGCCCTCTGTAGCTCTGGCTAATGAGTGACACAGATGTATTTCTAACTATGATATAATGAAATATTTACTTTCAATAAGGATGTACATAAAGTGCAATGGGAACCCAGAGGAAGGAAGCCTTTTACAGAGGAGGTACGCTGTGAATTGTAAAAAGGGGACATTTGTGGGACTAGCATGCACAAAGACAAAGAGGCATAAAAGAGTATAAAATTCTCCCAGAACTTAAAGTAGTTCAGTCTTGCTGGGACATAAAGAACAAGGCAGGAGGAGTGGCGGGAAACGAGACTGAACAAGTAGATCACAAAAGGTCTTGTCTGTCACACAAAGGAGACCGAATTTTATTCTGTAGGGGAACTACTGAAAGAATTTTAAGCAGAGGAGTGACTTGATCAGCACTAGAAAATATACCAGAAATCCTGAAAGACATCTTAATCCTCATTTATTTCCAGGGAAAAGGTAAAGGCCCGATCCTCTAGGTCCCCTCTTAAATAAAATAACATGAAGCTGTAAGCAGAACTATGTACCTGGCACACAATAAATACTCAATAAAGATCTGCTGAATATGAATTTGGATATCCTGCATGGGGCAGTCCCTGCTAAGAGCAGAATTTTAGCAGCACCAGCACCTTCAGTTTGGTCTTAGGTGTGATAATAGGAACTGCTCCTTTGGAAGGGACTAGTGGCAACTGAAAATTCTAAAATCTAACACGCAACAGGAAGAGGGTGCCATATACCGTTTTGTTGTACTCCAGAGTACAAACCTCTCTTAGTTTTATTTCCATAGTGGGATTTATGTCCCAATAATGGGATAATATTACTGTTTTACTTCATCCACTAAACTCTGGAATCCTGGGTGACAGGTGCTTCTGTGCACACATGCAAACTGGAGAGAACTCATTACTGGTTTCACTCCTGCAGTTGTACCCAATATCTCTTCTGCTTAATTGAATTTAGTTGAATGGTTCTTCAGATAAATACGGTAGAAATGAAATAATTGCATTTCTGCCTTCATTTACTGAGTGCATGCAAAATGCTTTAAGTAATCAGGAAGGATGTATTAGATACAATTTATAAGTGAAGAAAATGAGGCTCAGAGAGGCAAAGCAACTTGCCCAACGACACTGATAGTAAGTTGCAAAGCCACAACTCAAACCCATGTTTGGTAAACTCAAGTATCGCAAAAAAAAAAAAAAATGCAGTACTGTCTCCTTCAAAGCCATCGTGAGGCAAAACAAAGTTACTGGAATATAAAAATGATACTTTCTTTGTGTCTAGGGAATACTTTCTTAAAAAAAAATTCAAACGGGGTGAAAAGAAGAAATACATATGGGACATGAAAAAAAGAGAAATGAGAGGCCAGTATAAGCTAGGCCCTAGTGCAGCAAGAAGAGATGGAAGAACCTGGGTCTGGGAGTTAAGTTGGAGCTAATTCTTGGGGAGATGAGGGGAAAGTTTCTGAGCAGGAACCTAAGACAGAGCTGAGAAAGTAGGTAGGCAGCAAGCACATGGCCACTGCACGCTGTCCAGCCTGGCCTGCCCTCCTTACCTGCCATGAAACCAGTCCTGGCACAAGTCACACTCAATCATGAAGCGGGTCACATCGTAAGGAAGCCGGCAGAGGCAATACACGGGCACCGAGGCCATCTTCGCCTGGCCTTGGAGCACTCTGGCAGGCCAGGCTCGTAAGCGTCTCAGGGGAGGGGAGCTGGAGGCGGCAGCAGGCGCGTCCTCTCTGGACGATGGCTGGGTACAAACAACACTTTTTACAGAGTGAATCAGTTCCCCCATAATACCAACCCTTAGTTCACAAATGGCAATTAGGGCTGCAGGGATGCAACACAGCTGGTATGGCTGTAGGGGGCAATCGGAAAAAGCCCACAGGCCTCCAGAATTCCTTGAACAAATAAATAAAGGCGCTCTGCCGTCGGAAGGCTTTTTTTTTCTCCCTACCTCCTTCGGCCCCCCGAGTCACTGATAACTTCTTTCCGGGTTGCAAGGAAGTATCTGACGCCTTTTCAGGAAGCTTCCTTCATTCCTCATTGCACTCTCTCCTGGCTTGTAACCTTGCTTCCCTGAGCTGTCTTTATTATGACGCAAACCACAGCCTAAAGGAGGAGGCTGGGGGTACCTCGGGAAAAGTCCCTCCTCCCTCCCAAAATAGGGACAACAAGGGAGAGATGAGGGAGCCCTTGGAAGTAGGCACAGATTACTCGAAAATACGATGCCTCAGGAACAAGGCGGTCAAGAACTAGGCGCCCAACTCAAATCACAGTTCTGGGGTCGTGTTCTGAGAGTTTAAATGATCCACAGGCTCAAAATCATTCCAATCCCGACCAGTCAGGAGTCTCACTGATCACCCCAACAACTGAAATCAATCTCAATTTCAAACTTGATCATATCGTCCTCTACTTCAAAGACAACAGGGTTCTGTTGCACCCCTGAAACTAAAAAGGATCTCCCTGAACCCCCTGAAGCTGACCAGAACGCCCTCACGCTCGTGCAACTAAAGGAGGATTCTTTTCCCCCACCGCTCAGAAACTGGCAGGCATTTCCTCACAGCGTCCTAATTGTGACTAGGACTCTCCTGTCCCCCAAAACTGACAGGGGTCTCCTTGCAGCCCCCGAAACTTACGAGAATCTCTTCACGCCTCCCAAACTGACAGGAACCTCCTCAGACCCCAAACGTGACAAGAACGTCTTCGGTCCCGAACCCTACAAGGACCTCCTCATCCGCAAAGCTGCAGGGATTCCTCACGCCCGCGGAGTTCAGTGCCACTGAAGCGACGGCGGCCGGACTTGCTCCGGGGAGGCTCGGCGCCTCGCGCACCGGAGGCTCAGCCAGCAGTTCCGGCCCCACCGGCGTCGCGCACCGAATTCTGGGATCGACTGGGCGACGCTGCGAACTTTGCTCGCCTTACCCTGGAACCACCAGCTGGGTCAAACAGCCCTGGACTCCCTGCTTTCCTTCAAGGCAGTTTTCTCTACAGCTCTGCCCTGCGTCTGGCCCTTCGGGTCTCCAGGAGCCCACGGCTCGGGCCTAGTCTGGCGGCCGGCAAGCGGCGGCGTCCCTGGGCCGGGAGGAGATAGCCACAAGCAAACCAACGAGGAAGGAGATGAACCGGCGGCCGGGTCGGAGAGAAATGACCCGCAAAGTCGCCGGGGAAAGCCCGGTGGCGGTGTTATGCAATTAGTAGTAGTCAATAAAGTTTATTCAAAACAACGAGGAAGTTGAGGAGACGGGAAGAGAGATACGGCGTAAACAGCTCCCATGTTGAGAGTGGCGGCTCCGCCGCGGGGAGGCGACCCGACCGCCATCTTATGAGGGCCAGAAGCGGGAAGTAACCGCGGCAGAGGCGGGGGACGGAGGCCGCTGGCTCCCGCGTGACGCCAGCAGAGGCGGAGCACCACCTTGAGAAAAGCGGGCCGAGACTCGGCTACTCTTTGGACCCGCTCGTGTTCTCTAGCAACCCAATTGAAGCCGAGGACTATAAGCCGCCATCTTAGGCGAGGCGGTCTCTTGGTTCCATTTTGACTAGGGCGAGACCCTTCCCAGACTTTTCCCTCCCCCGGGCGAGCTGGGTAATCATCCCCAACCACGCACAGACACACACACACACACACACACACACTCCTCCTCCCCAGCCTACTCCTCCTATGAGAAGAAGTGAACTCTGCAAACTGCCAAATAAATAGGTGGCGGTGGGGACGGGCTTCGGTCAGGGTGGAGGCGGAGTACTCACAGCGGCTCCTGTTCTTTGAGCACCACCAGCGGACTACAGTCTCACAGTGTCGCCAAGTCTTCACCCTGTAAGGGAAGCTGTTATTATCCCCAAGTGACACACTGGCTTAGGGAGTTGAACCCTGGTCCCTCCACTGTCCCCTTCCTCCCTCCCTTGGTCGGTCTCTCTGTCGTCCTTCCTCCGTAAAGCTTCTGTCAATTTCCCAGCTCCCAGTGAACTCCTTTTTGACCCAACTGTTTCAATTGAGTGCAGTTCAGACATAGTTCAATGATTTCCATGCACACGTTACAGGAGTTTCCTGAGGGTGGTGTGGGAAAAAAGGATGAATGAATAGAACGCCCCACACATGCTTCAAGATGGCGCTGGTTTTCTCAGACATTCTAGAATATTCCCTAGGAATCCTCTTACCATTTCATTTTCTTAAAGGGTCCCACTGTTCTAAAAAGAAAATGTATGTGTGCACACCAGTTTCCTAAGTGATTGGTGGCTTAGGCCCTCAGGATATAATGATGGAAAACGGGTCTCTGCTGTGGGAAATTGCCAGCCACTGCGGGAGACAAGCTTGCAGGTCAACAGGTGGAATACAAGCTCCAGTAAACACACCGATACCTGTTGGTAAGTGAAAAAGTAAAGCTAAGACAGTGCCTCAGAAACGGCTTCCTACTGTCCAAGAAGATTTCAGGGACACTTAGCAGGTATATAAAAGTTAACTAAATTAACAAGAACACTGTAGATAAAAGGATCAACATATAAAAATGCACATTGGAAAATATTTCCAAAAAGAAGTTGGATACAACACTGTTAATTAAGGTATCGTTGATAAACACTCTTATGAAGGTTTCACATGAAAAAGATTGTGGTTACTACATTCACCCATATTATCGAGCCCTCCCAATACCCTATGGAAGTCACTGTCCACCAGTTTAGTAAGATGCCACAGAGTCACTACTTGTTTTCTCTGTGCTACCCTGTTTTCACCATGATTCCTCTATACCATGTGTGCCAATCATAACACCCCTCAATCTCCTTCTCCCTCCCTCCCTGACCCCTCCACTTTGTTAAAAGCTACACCTTTCTTGGAGTCTGTGAGTCTGCTGCTGTTTGTTCCTTCAGTTTTGCTTCGTTGTTACACTCCACAAATGACTAAAATAATGCGGTAGTTGTCTTTCTCCACCTCACTTATTTCACTGAGCATAATACCCTCTAGCTCCATCCATGTTGTTGCAAATGGTACGATTTGTTTTTTTTATGGCTGAATACTATCCCATTGTGTATATGTACCACACCTTCTTTATTCACTCATCTACTAATGGACACGTACGTTGCTTCCATTTCTTGGCTATTGTAAAGAGTGCTGTGATAAACATACGGGGGCATGTGTCTCTTTGAATCTGGGATCCTGCATTCTTTTTTTTTAATTAATTAATTTATTTATTTATTTTGGTATCATTAATCTACAGTTACATGAAGA